CTTCCACGCTCCTTCGAAAGGAAGCCAGCAAGGTGGCAAGCAAAGAAATAAGGAGCGGCACCAAGTCACTGCATAATATACACACTTTATTTATGAATTTGTATGTATACAGACTTTCTATACACACATTACCTATATAATAAAAATGTACATGTGTATACATGGTTGTATAAATATAGAACTGTAGAAATCTTAGAACCGATCCTGTCTATTCACAGCAACTCCTCCCGTGGGACCGCTTTGTTCGAGTAGCCGTCATTTGAGACTTGGACAAAAGGGGCAAGTGTCATTTGTGTTGTTTTGTGCCCAGAATTTGATGCACTGGAAGAGAGAGAATTAGTCAAGAGCCACTGGCACAACTCAAGGGCGCTGCGAACAGCGTGGTGTTACTTTTCCGGAAGGGTGCCGGCAAGGGCGCGCATTTTAAGGCATGGTCTCTTTTGCTCCTTCGAGACAGCCTCCGTCAAAAGGTCACCTTGCGGAGGGAGCCCTCTTCACCCTAGCAGGATCACCAGCCCCTCCTCAATTCATGGTTTTCCATTTCCTCGGCAGCTGCTGGAGGCCCCAGAGCCACTGGGATGAGGGGTTTGCCTACACAGGTGAACCACTGCCAGCCCTGCCGGATGAGGAAGGCTCCTCCTCTTCCCGAGAGCTCCTGCGCACAGACCCACAGCGCCCAGCCACCCGGCGGCAGCTCTCGCCATCGCGCCGTGCTCTAGATCCAGACTGTCCTGCTCCGGGAAGGCAAAAGGCCAGGATCCAACCCTCCTAGCACCGAGCGCAGGCTCGGGGGCAGGAATAAGGACAGCCTGTTCCTAAAGCCACCGCCACCAAACGGCCACTCAGGGTGGCCCAGCTAAAAGTGTGGAAAGAGGGGGTGACAGGATGCAGAGAAGTTGTTTATCCATCACACCCTTCTCCTGGCAAGATCTCGGGACCACAGGGACTCGCTACACGTGCCCAGGGCCCCAGGAACCATTACGAGGAACCCAGGAGCAGGACACGGCAGGGAAGGGCACTCACCTCCTTGTGCAGCACGTGCGAGCAGGCCATGGGGTGAAGGTC